TGTTTTTCAAAATATTCCCCATGAAGATCTATACACTTTTGCATGCATTTGAACAATTGTCGAAGCACTTTTGCCACTCTGACTGAGGTATCTCCAAAAGATGCATTCTGAATGCAGGAACCACTTCTTCAGGTGTCGAAAAACGTTGACCTCTCAGTTTGTTTTTTACGTGCGGGAATAAATAGACGTCATTCGGTGCCAAGTCAGGACTATACGGCGGATGACTCATCAAATTAATGTTTTGGGTTGTTTGAGCCGATGTGTGAGAGCTCGCATTGTCTTGGTGAAGAGTGATCCGTCTTCGGCGGTTGGTTTTCCTGATTTCTTGGAAGACAACTGGCAAACAAATGGTTGTGTACTACTCAGAATTGACTGTTCTGCGTTGTTCTAGTGGTACGGTTGCGACATGTCCAGTTTTTCCGAAAAAACAGGCGACCATTTCCTTGGAAGTGTTTCGTGCGCGAACAACTTTTGTTGGATTTGGTTCACCTTGAAAACACCCATACAGTTGACTGCTGTTTACTTTCGGGCTCATACGTGTAAATCCACGATTCATCACCTGTCAAGATGTCATAGACGTGTTTCGAAGCACCGCGATCGTATTTTTTGATCATTTCCTTTGACCAATCGACACAAGCCTTTTTTTGACCGATTGACAAATTGTGTGGGATCCAACGTGAACAAATTGTGTGGGATCCAACGTGAACAAATTTTTTTGACACTCAAATGTTTATGCAATATTGAATGTATGCTGGTCCCACTAATGTCTAAGGTTGTCTCAAACTCACGATAAGTCACATGACGATCTTGCAATATCAGTTCGCGCACAGCATCAACGGTTTTCGGAACAACAACTGATTTTGGACGACCTTCACGAAATTCGTCTTCGAGTGAACTACGACCACGATTGAATTCACCATACCATCGATAAACACTGGTCCTTCGTGGAGCTTCATCGCCAAAAAATGAATTAAGTTCATCCATGCACTGTTGCTGAGTTAATCCACGTCGAAAGTTGTAAAAAACAATCGCACTAAAATGTTCACGATTTAATTCTATTTTTAGGCCGAGATGAATCTTTCAAGTTACTGTAAACAACACAAATAGCGCGCGTATGTCAAAACGTTCTGAGTAAGTATAGGCTCAAAAGTGTGTTACTTTACGATAGAGCTGTCAGTTGCCAGATTGCAACACTAGGGTTGCCAAATCCCGACACATAAAGGCAACCCTCGTATAATCATAGTTATGATTTCTGTGACTGTTTTGAAATGTTATACTGGGCTGACTAAGTTACAAATTCATTGTTATTGTACAAATCATTATTTGCCCAGTGTTCTGAGAGGTGTACTTTTCTTTCACAGGTTGGACAATGAAAGTCATTAGAAATGTTGGATCATAAATACTGAGAATGCCTCAGTTTAATATATGTCTTCCATTTTGGTTTCACTCAGCGGATTTTTATATTCAGTAAACCCTTTTAAAAATTATTAGGGATTGACTTCAAATCATTTTGATACAATCTATAACCTATGTTATCAAGAACAATTTTTAAAAAACCTTTTTGGCTTTCTACTTCTCCATCATTAATCAATAAATGTAGAAAGCCAAAATACGTTTTACCAAATAACTAATATCTCCTAAAAATATTCCTTTTCAATTCCAATTTTGTGTTTCATTGAAACAAAAAAACAACGCACCAAATTCATATGATTTTTGTTTTTAGGAAATGATGGAGAATTCAGGTTCAATAATCCTGAAGTAGTTGCTCAGTTATGGGGTGTTCGAAAAAAAAAACCCATGATGAACTATGAGAAATTATCAAGAGCATTGCGATATTACTATGATGGAGACATGATTTCAAAAGTGCATGGAAAAAGATTCGTTTACAAGTTTGTGTGCGATCTAAAGCAATTATTGGGCTACAATGCTATAGAACTTGCCAATTTAGTCAAAACAGGCAACCCACAAGGAAATTCGTGACAATATCAATTTTAATTTTATATATTGTGGAAACGTTGTTAGTGATAAATTTATGTACTGTGATCAACATATTTCAATATTATTTTTGTAACATTTGTAAATAATTTGTAATAAATTGGCCTTTCGATACCAGTAAATTTTTTTCTTGTGAAATATAGATACCTGATAAGCCACATCAGAAATAGAAACTTTTCTGGGCTTTCAGCGGAGTCTTTATTTTTACTTTTATTGAACAAGTGCACATTAGAAATATAAACTTTCTGTGAGCTTTAAGTGGAACCTTTTTTACTTTCATGGAACAATCACAGTAGCAGAGGTTGAACTTCATAATTCTATGATTTTTTATATACAGTAGAAGTCCGATAATCTGGCACGTTCAGTACCGGCTCGGTGCGGGACTTCCAAAAATTTCGGTCTATCGGGCGGTGCCCCTGCCGTTTAGTGTAGGCTTTGCCGTAAAACAAATGTACTTTGTACACTTTTTAACTACATACATAAATCGTAATTATAAGAACAATTAGAATATTACTGGAGTTTTTTCCCAACACCAAATCGTTATTTTTACACCTCGACACGTGTTTCGATCACCAAGTGATCATCTTCAAGAGGAAGATAAGGGGAAAAAACTCCAGTAATATTTATTGTTACACCAAAGGTTCCAAACAGTACATCATAAGAACAATTAGGTTGGTAAACTACAAATACAGTATGCAAATACAACCAAGTTTATTTTACATTTCATATAATGGCAAAGACGCTTCATGCACCTGTATTTGTTGTGACAGCTGAGACTATCCGGCCGCTAATTGTTTCCGAACATTACCGAGCGATTCCGGATGATCCCGAACTACCCCGAAAACTTCCGAATAGCTCTCGAGCGTTTTTATTTGCTTTAAAGACACACTTTCGGAGAAAACCAAAATTTTCAGAATTTTCCTGAGCGATGCCGGACTATCGGGCATTCTGAACTGTTGGATGCCGGACTAATGGGCTTATACTGAACAGAGTGGGGCACCGAAAAAGAAACAGATCGAATATCTTCAAAACACATGTTTTCTGAAAAAAATGCTAAAACACGTCGATTTGTAATCCAATGGGGACATCTTTCTATCATAACCACTACTGTCATACCTCTCCCCCCACCCCTCGGTCACTATTACCAAAACAATTTGAATAAGGAAAGTAGTAAGTGTGACACGTCATTAAAAAGGTAATTTCATAAGGAATTCGGCCATGTCAATTTTCGCCACCTAACTTCTTTTTGGCGCCCTCTTGCGGAAAAAAATGTTCCAAATTATGATACGTCATTTGCAAGCTAATTTGGCATAAATACGGTGACAATGCATTATGGAATTTTTCTGAGGGAAAAAACAAAATGGCTGCTAAGATTTGCAATTATGGTCCGATTTAATTCCAAATTGATAAGTGATGGTTTTCAGGGTCGTAAATTATGATTTGTTTCTCAATGCCAAAAACAATATGGTGGATCCAAGATGGCAGACGAAATTTGTAATTATGGTCCGATATGGTCATAATTTCCTACCCTGAAAATCCCTATATAACAATTTTGTTTCGAATCGAACCATAACTACAAATTTCGTCCGCCATCTTGGAGCCACCATAATGTTTTTTTGCATTGACCAACAGATCATAATTTCCGACCCTGAAAACCACACTCCTATTCTCTGTAATTATTTGGGAAAATGTGTCACAAGTCAGCTTATATACTCCTGATCTATCCAACACCGAAGTTTTGTTGTTTTTAATGAATTCACTTAGACTATTATTCGTTCTGTAAGCTACGTTTACGCATTTTTTCTTAAAAAAAAAACGGGCAATATTATTGGTGGGTTAACCCAAATATGACAATGTCCTATAACTGACGTATCGCATCTTGAATTTCGGTAGGCCTGGTCCATGTCTTGCTTTTGTAGTTTTTTGGAAAGAATGGAGTCTATAATATCTACCTTATAACCGTTGTTGACCGCGATTTGTTTGATCAAACTGGGTTCTCTCTGGAAATTACTCTCAGACAGTGGAATATTCAATATGAAACATACTACTGAATGCAGCCACTTTATGCTGGTAAGGCTGTGTGGAGGAATTTTGTATGATAATGCCAGTGTAAGATGGTTTGTGGAAAATTGCAAAATCATGTGTATTGTTATTTTTAGTAATGGTTAAGTAAATTTAATTTATTGAATTATTCAACTTTCTTTCAGTGGTGAATTTTTTCGACGGATGGATGGAATTGACATATTCAATGAACTTGCCTAATTGCCTATATGTGCCAGCAAAACAGACTAAGATATCATCTACGTATCTGCACCAGTACAAGAAATAGTTAACTGATTATTATGGATCTCATACTCTATGTTATTCATGAAAATTTCAGCCGGCTAAGGGCTCAAAGGGTTTCCCATTATTAGTTTTTCACTGCACGAATAAAACTTTTCGTCAAACTAGAAATAATTTTGAGATAAATAAATAGTAAATAAATCTAAAATTTCCCGTTTTACTACTGGATTCTCGTGATTTTTGTCTGAGAGACGCTCAACCAGTCCAATTGTTTCAATTGGCGGACTACTTGTAAATAAATTTTGGACATCAAAGGATATTAATTTGGCGTTATCAGGAAGCATTAAGTTTTAAATAATATTCACTTATTAATAAGAAATATTATTTATACTAAATCTCGGATTGAAATTGATATAGTTTGAATTAATTTTAAGAGGATTTCTGAGATTTTCACGGTAGGTGCCGTTACAAACGACACCACAGGTTTAATCGGGAAATTGGTTATGTGTAATTTAATTCGACTGGTTGAGCGTGTTGCGTTTTTGTATAACACAATAAAGTGTTTTTTGAATACTTTAGTTATGGATTTTAATCAAGTATTGGCCAATTCCGTCATATATTTCTAAATCTAGCAAGAAGAAAAATACAGAATTAATTATTTGACGACACTAGTGAGTATATTTCATTTTGTCATTCTTTCTGGTTGTTTCTATTCTGTAGTTGAATTGACATTGACAGCCAGTCCAACTTGTCATGTATATGGAAATTTTGCTAACAAAATATAATTTTATTTTGCCTTACTTGTTCATTAATCTTGTTACAATTTCTGGAAATGGATAAAAAATCACCTACATTTATATTGAATGTGAATGAATTTGGGCAGCAGGTTATCACATCGCAATCGGAACCATACAAAAAGTGAGAAAGTAAGAGAAAACTGAAAACGGTACTAATTAAAAAAGTTGTTTTAGATACATTCTAGATGAAGATGGTAATATGATAGAATATAAATCAGAAACATCAATGCCAACAGTGAAGTTAGATTCGCAAGGTAACATAAGCGAAGAGGATAGTAATGATACTTCTAACAGTGGTAATCAGGATATTGTCACACTTGAGGATCCTGTTCAGTTTGGTAAGTTATTGAGTAACACCTTTTAAGCTTCTTTCAAGCTGTTTTAGAGTTTAGGCAGTTTTTCAGCCGTCGTACTGATGAAAAGGTGAAACTAATGGCTTTTACTGATCAATAACAGTGTTGTTCATCTTAATACAAAGGTTAACAAACCCATACGGAATCACAAAATGAATAATTCTGAAATATTTTCTAATTTCTTTGCTTGTAGGAATGCTTGATGCCGTGTCTGAGTTTGAAGAAAATCTGATGAATGAATTAGACTCTGATTTTATGAGTATGGTTCCTAATCCCCAGTCACAATACATCATGCAGCATATGGATATACGCGAACCCCTCACTAAATTACGAAAGTTGATAGAAAATCGTTTGGGGGTGGGCTTACCAGGATATATATTTGCCCTTCAAGGAGTGCAGATTGTAAGTTCATTCAAAAATGTTGTAAACATTTTTTAATAGATAATTATTTGGTTATGAAGCTAGACCTTTTTATTTATGTATTTATGTCTGCTGATCACATTCATAACTGAACACTGAGGATTTATGACATCAAAATCTGCACATACAAAAATGTACCTACATATTTATTCTCGCAAATACACAAATTGTTAACTATTTTTTTATTGTTGAAGGTATATTTCAAATAAGAGTAAGGAAGAAGAAATTTACTATCTTTTCAATACTTATATAATTTTCAATTCGGTAATTACCTAGTGGAACCACTACCTGCAAATTAATTTGTCAACAATAGATTAAAAAGCGGACAAATTAATTTGCAGGTAGTGGTTCCACTAGTTATTTACCGAAAAATCAATTAAGGATAATCATCATTTAACAAACAAAGTCCACATCGGACCAAAAAACTTTAGGTGTATAAACAGCTAACCCTTGTTTTTAGATTCAGTATTAATTTGCTTCTCCTGAAGATGCTAACCTTGTTAGCGAAACGCGCGTCGAGTGCAAAAATATCAGTTTGGTGTTAGGGTAATTGATCTCTAGAAAAAGTTTTCAACTTTTACATCAAAGGTTCCAATCTCATCGTTTAAACCGATTTTTGTGAAAATCTTAGTGTTTTAGGGTACTTTCATTAATATGGCTTTCTGGAGACCTTTTGAAACAGATGATAACATTACGTGTGAGAAATCTGTGTCAATCGACAGGGATCCGGAATTTGAAAATAAGGACTTACATGTTCAAGTTCAGCGAGTAATTTTAAATATTCATGAATGCTTGAAAAAGGAAAACTGTCACACTTCACAGAATGCTATTGTGAATAGAATATGCGAGTTAACAAAACTATCTAGAAACTCTACGAGGTGTCTTATTGTCTTGTGGTTTCAAATATAAAAAATGTAACAATCGGATGGTCTTAATGGAATCGACACGCATTGTTCAACTCCGACAAGAATATTTGAGACGAATGAAAAGCTACCGAGAATCCAGCAAACATATAATCTATCTCGACGAAACTTGGTTTGACACCCATCATGTTGTCAAATATGGCTGGGTAGACGAAACCAAGTATTGTGCTTTGAACACACCTTCTTCAAGGGGAAAACGTGTTATAATTTTGCATGCCGGGAATGAAAGTAGTTCGTACCTAACGCTTTGCTTCTGTCGGCCAAAAATATAAAAGATTCGTCTGCTGATTACCACGAAGATATGACTGCGGCTTTATTCGACACCTGGTTCTGTGAGCAGCTTCTCCCAAATATTCCTCCAAACTCGGTTATTGTTATGGATAACGCTTCGTATCATTTTCAGTTATTGACTACAAAACCAAACAATAACACAAAAAAAGCAGATATTGTTAATTTCATGCGAAATCATGATATGGAAATACACGAAAAGACTCCAACGAAAAAGGTATTACTGGCGACCATAAAACAACGTAATTTCAAAAAAGGGTATATTATTGATTCGATGTGTGAAACACGTGGTCATATTTTCTTACGTTTGCCTCCATACTATTGTGTGTTCAATCCAATTGAAATGGTTTGCGCCGCAATGAAAGAAAGCTTGCGGAAATGTAATCAGTCACCGACTTTGAATGCTGTAGTGCTTGACAATATAAGGCGAGTGGTGAATGAAGTGGATAATAGTGATGTGTGGAAGAACTGTGTATAGTCCCACTGTGATTTGAAAGTGCATATAGATTATAACGACAAGGAGCCCCATTGTCTGCTGCATAACTGCTCATATCTAATCCGTCAATGGAAACATTCAATTTGCCTCTGAACCTTTCCGTCGGAGAGAATATTTTCAAATGAATTACTAAAATACGGGGAAACTCATAGATTGATAAGGACTTTGTACATTTTCTTCTTTGCTTGCACCTCGAACACATTGGTTTTTCATCTCCATCCAGAGTTTCCTCTCTTGTGAAAGAATCCAAGCAATGTGACAAACTCACTTGGTCAGATCTTTGTGGTATGAGAAGGGACAAATCCCAGAAAGGATCAAAGGTTACTGATGAGTGTCCACAGTGTGTGCACTTCATAGTGGATTTTAATTGACCAACGAAATAGTAATTTTTTTCCAAATTCAGTTTTTTTTGCATCTTTTCAGTTTATTACTATCGTCGAGCGTTTTCTGGCCAATCATTTCGCAATGATAGTCTTAATGAACGCACCGTTTGACCTTGATTAGTGAAATTTCTTTCCGGATATTTTAGCCCCGAAGGTGAGCCATGAAGTGATCGACCTACAATAATCCAGGATGGCGGAATAACGACTTCAGTCACATGCCGTTTTTGATGGTTTTAAACGTATTGGAAAGGTCAAAACCTCTAAAAGCGGGTGCCCCACGATTTGAATGATCGAGAGGAATTTTTACATTTCGATGTGTGTTCTTTGCTTTTGCGCAACCAAAACGACCCTTCGATAACGTTAGCATCGGTAGAACCTTCGCCGATCAGGACCAGGCAAAAACGGCCTTCGTCGACTTCATCGAATCCCGAGCACACACTATTTTTGCTGACAGAATCAATCGGCTTGTGTTCCATTGGCAAAGGTGCACTAATTCAAATGCCCATTATTTCGATTGAATTTAATAAGTATTCACTGAGATATTATAGTTTAAAGTAGACTCACAAAAATGGACAACTTTTGAATCAACCTAATATGTTACGTCCTACTTATTACATCTACGTATACATTTTATGTCAAGTATGTTATCAGTAGTTTACTTGACATTGAATTATCAGTACATCATTGGAGAAATTAATAAAACAAAGTTTTGGACCAAGTGATGGAATGTGAAAAAATACCTTTTTTGAATTGAAATGATATCAAGATATTACATCTGAAAATAAATTGCATGAATCATAAAGAATGAGAAACCCAAACTTACTGGTGAAGAAACAAATTATTGTGAGGTGATTTGGAAATGAAAAATGTTTCAAGCCAGGAAAACCCAAACATTACACTGGGACTAAAAAAAAGATATTTTATTAAGGAGCGAATAAATATCATTAACAATGTTAAAATATTATGAATATACTAAAATAGAATAGTGTGAAGATTTCACACAGATATAACATTCATACTATTGGTAACTATAATTATCACCAACAAATATTGTTTTGTTTGAATGTTGATGTTGACTACGATTGATGATTGTCCNTTGCAAGGGAGCCTCATTGCCTTCCAGGCCAGTGTGGCGAGGAATCCAGACCAGAGACAATTAATTAAGTCTTCCTATTGAGGAGAGTTAGACGTTGCTCAGTAGAAGCCAAGAGCTTTCAACGCCACTTGACTGTCCGAGAAAATTTTGAGTGACTTGTGTGTGAGGTTGAATTTTACCAATCTCTCCGCAAACAATATCCGCTTGAAATACAGTCGCAAAGGTTCCTAGGCAGGTTAATATATCTGTCCTGGGTCTGCAACTGAAAACACCTGATGGATCAACAACTATATGCTCTTAATATTTCCTTCTCCTGGAGGATCTAGTCCTCTCTACTTGGGAAAAGTAATGTATAGTTCGTAGTTGACAGTGTAGGTCTTACATCAGGCATCTTTCCTCTATCTAGCGTCACCACTGCTAAGGGAACCCCTACTCCTCCGAACTACCCTCCCCCCGTATCACCGGCGCCAAAGCGTCGGCAATACGGGGAGACGAATCAGCGGGCTAGAAGACCCAGTTCCTTTATTACCAGAAAATTACAAACAATTCATACACCATAATACATCAAATATAACTTAAAAATAACAATTCTAGCCCTTTCAAAATAGGCAAACATATATATAAGAAATATAAAAAACAAAGAATGATTTGGGTTGGGTCTATTTGACCCACCCAAGTATCCCAGTTGTACATCAACATATACAAGCGATCAGTTTCGTTTCCTGCCATGACTGGGGAGATCATAACCCCACCTCCTAGCTCACTACGCATGTACGCGAGCAGTTCACTATCTATCCTTCCCTTTCTTCCCTCACCACATTGTCCGCCCAATTATTCATAAGTCGTATCCATTCATCTTTTTTCCCATTTACGTCTCTCAACCATTCATCCTTTCCGTCCTCTCCTTCCACTCTCCAACCAATCCTGTCCCCGTTCGTACATCTATCAATCACGTGCTCTGACGTTTCAGGCTTCCTATAGTTACAGGAGCAGGGAACCTCCGGACCCAGGTTAAATCTTGCCAGATATCACGGAAAGTTCCCATGTCCCGTGAGCAGTTGGACAGCCTTCCGCGACAGATCTAATGATTCATACCCGACTGTTCTACCAAATCTGTAGAACAGCTGCCCAGTCGTACCTCTCTCCCATTCCCTCTGCCATCCTCTTCTGATATTCTATTTTATCCCTTTTCTCTCATCTAACTTACTATACGCTTTTCCTACTTCCCATGTGACCTCTGTTTTATTCATACCCTTGGTGGCTTCCTCATTAGCCTTCGTATTTCCTACGTTGTTGCCATCGTGTCCCCTATTCCACGTGATCTGGGTACGTACTCCCCTAGCACTCCTTTCCTTGAACATCTGCTGAATCCTTGCTACCCTTTTAGTCCTCACTCTTCCTACTTTCAGTTGTTTCACAGCCATAGCAGAGTCACTGAATTAATTTCACGCTCTCATCCATGCTCCATATGCTGGTCACTCGCTCGATCGCAATCAACTCTGCCTCATTTACGTTGCTTTGTCTGGTGATCCTTTCATTCCTCTCCCCTTTTATATGCCCTGCCTATCCCCATTATTTCATCATCCATCCTCACTTCGGCATCTGCATATACTTCAATCACTCCTTCATCCTCCATCTCTTACAGCAACACCCCTTGCAACCAGGGGAATATCCTATTGACTCCTTTCACCCTGTCCCCAATCTTTCTTGCCCCGTTCACTATCCATTCTTGATATCTGGCCCATCCTTCTATCTGTAATGGCGCCATTCCGGTGATGACACTGAGCGCAGCCGTT